GATTTTTTACGCACAGTGGAGAAATACTTGTAGTATTATTGCAGAAACATTATAATAATGCAGCAACATTGCTGTAATATTACAACATTACTGCAATATTTATTATAAGATTTTGTATATAAATTTTGTATATAATTTAAATATAAAAAATTAGAAGTAGAAGTTAAATATAACATACAACGAATACAAATAAAATATGACTTTATAATTAATTATGTCTATATTTTATAGACGTGTTCCGATATACACTGCCAGTATTGAAAAATCTACAGTACGTAACGTGAATTATAAATTTTCAGCACTGGCTGTGTATATCGGAACACGCCTATAAAATATAAAGACATAATTAATTATGAAGTATATATTATTATGTATATATACATATTTTATTTGTATTCATTATATGTTGCATTAACTCCTACTTCTAATTTTTTACGTCTTATTCTCGTGTTCATTATGCATTATATTTAATCCTTACTTCTAATTGTTTTATGTCTATAAATTATAGGCACAATTCCTACAAATTATAGACATCGACTACATTTATATCTTATATCCGTTCCACTAATGTAGATTAACTTTAATCTCGGTTCAACTTACTTTTCGTCTTTTTCTAATTTTTAGAACTAGAAAAACACGAAGATAAGTTGAACTGAGATTAAAATTAATGTATATTGGTAGAAATAGACATTAATCGAATTTAATAATATTCGTAGTTAGAAACTAACCATTCTATTTTTTAGAGGAAATATATAATTATGAGATTGTCAATTTCATAACTACAGATGTTATAAAACCTGATTAAATGTACCGTGCAAACGTGATCATTAATTCTTATTCTTCCATTATGTCCAGATCCTTACTTTATTGATATACACAAATCAATATATACAAGTCTTAACACTCAAAGTGAACTTTCTAGCAGAGACACAAATCGACACAGTGACAAGAGTCATTCTTGTCTTTGTTTCTTACTGATTTTTGAACAAAGACAGAATGATCTTTGTGTTTCTCTTGGAAATATTTTTAAATATTTTAAAAATACTGCTGTAACATTGCTGAAGTAATATTGCAAAAAGAAGTCTTCGCAATGTTTCTGCAATATTGCATTGCAATATGCAACATTGAAATGTTGTAGCAATATTGCTACAAGTTTCTGTGCTGTACGGGTCTTCGAGGAAGAAGATTCTTATTGTCTCCAAGAAATGACTTAAGGATGTTTAGAGGACGAGATTAGCCTTTCGATTCGCTTATTGCTTACGTTTTTCTAATACTATTAGCTCAAACATCACGAAATTAATCTCAGTAACGTGCTCACGTGTTCAACATTAGTTTATATAGAGTCTCTGAAAAAAATCCAAAGTGTTTATGATCTTCTCTTTCCCGGGTCTCTTAAATTTGACTGGCGCGTTATCGACACAACGAGCGAGCTGATAGGAGACCATCAATAATTACCTGGACCCATGCCCACCTAACTCTAACGAAGGACGATTTCTAACGATCCCCTCGCCAGCGTCCAACTTCTGGACGTAATTAATTCCCGGGCTAACCTGGAATGCTATAATTAATTGCTGGTGGGGATGATGAGGGGTAGAGTGCAACGGGTGCAACAATATGTACCCCCGCTTCGATTAGAAGTGTGTTGGGGTTGGGTGGCACGATACCGGAGGAAAGGGGAGAGAGAGGGGTAGACGGTGGGGACCGCCTCCACTCGCAGTTATGCAATTAATTAAATTCAGTTTGTTATTCGCCGTCGACTGTTAATTGCCGCAAAACTTCAAGAAACTGCACACGCTTGACGTTTCAAAATGCATCGCGTCGCGCTCGCGATCGTATTCAAGATCGCGATAGTAACTTATATTATTCCAATTGTTGTTTTCAGTATCGGGCATCGGAATTAGAGTCTACGAATTTTTCTCGTCGTCTCAAAAGGTCTCGTTAACGTTCCTGTGATAATTCCGCGCGCGACTCTCGATCCACAGAGGAGCAGAAAAATAAGCACGGAAAGAACCTCAACGGAGGGATTACGTCAGTGACACGCTCATATAATTAACAGACGCGTGTACAACTGCGCACGTGATGCACGCTGGTAACCGCGCCCGTTTGACCTCGGATTTAATTGATACGCTTGCAAGACAGCCGGCAAATAAAAGATTAGGACGTAACGCGAGCGGTTTAATTAGCGAGGAGAGGTTTCCCTCTCTTTCACTTTCACGTAACGAACCGTCTTGCGGTTATGCTTGTCGGTTGTGAAAAAAAAGTTACGATCCAGATTAACGAGAAAAATCGACACCTTTGGACGCTGTAAAAAAATGAATCATCGAGACGATGATTTCTTTATTTTTTAAAATCTTATTAAAAACGAGATTTACAACATCACGGCCAATATTTACAATTTTATGTGTGTGTGTGTGTGTGTGTGTGTGTGTGTGTGTGTGTGTGTGTGTGTGAGATCTATACAGTATTTAAGAATGTCTTAAGTACAATGTTACACAGTTGGAAAATTTGTATTAAATTTAACACATTTTATATGTTTCAAAGATCTATAAAATTTTTATTTTAGATAAGATGAATAG